CCACCAGCTTTAATAACTGGGGGGGAAATGTGATTTAGAAGTTAATTAGATTAGGCTGTTCTATGGTCTTATTCCCCATAAACCTAACCTAATATTAGCCTTAAGGTAGGAATAGCTGCTTATAGATAGGCTGCACCATAAAAATTTTACTGACCTACTGCAGAACAGGACAGCAGATATTCCTGCATGGTCAAAGAACGATACATCTTGAGCTGCCTCTCTAGCTGGAAATAGGTCAACATTCCCCAAAAAGACCCTGTCTGCTCCACTGCTCCCTCTCACAAAGCCTATGAAAATAGCTTCAAGTGTAGCACAGTTAAATAGGATAAAAATAGCTGCCCAAAAGCAGTTACTACATTTTACACACACATTTCCACTATGTAGTCTCAGAGAAACCACTCTGAGCTAATAATGTCAAGCCTACAACTGCTCATACTAACCCCTTAGTTTGTCTGTCATTAGTTTCAGGGAAGGAGTTACCTGTTTATTAGTTGCTTATGCAGGATTTCGGTTTGTTAATTAAAACTGCTCCTAAAGATGGAAGAATTTAAACACAGGCAATAGTTGTTGCACAGTTTCTTTCTTAGCATAAGTTAAACAAAACAGTGGTTTTATTTTGACTTCATGTTGTAGATTTGGCATCTTAATGTGGTTAGTTGCCAACAACAGCCCAAAGCTTCAGACTGTGGAGAAGCACTACCTAAAACTGTGTTCTTAAGTAAATTCTCCTCAAACATAATTAACAACTCTACAATGAGGCACAAAACCTGGAAGTAGGTCTATAACTTTAAGGATGTCTCTGGCTCTTTAAGGATGAAATTATAAGATTATGAAAGGTAGAAAAATGGGAGTATTCAAGGCACTGAAGCTTAAAACAATTTGTAGCAACTATATTTCTACTTGTCACATAGGAACATGTCCATATTCAAGAGCGTTGAACATCAGCAGAGGTTGCTCAAAGCCTTTGGATTTTCCATCTCCGGAGACATTCAAAACCTGGACATGGTCCTGGGCAACTCGCTCTAGATGACCATGCTTGACCAGGGATGTTGGACCAGGTGATCTCCAGAGGTCCTTTCCAGCACCCCTAATCCTGTGATTCTGTAATACTGGTAAATAGGCACATGATTAGTTTCAAGAAAAATGTGTCTCATACAAGTTATTCTGCGTCCCTAAGCTAGAAAGCAGAAACTAGTCCCTAGATTAGAGATTCAGCCCTAGTCCTCTACAGAGCAGTGTCTTGCCACTGGGCCATTTTAAGTCACTAAATTGCAAACTGGGCCATCATTTCCGTGAAGTGACACACAAGAGAATTGCTCACTTAATTTTATGATCTGGTTATGAAAGACATTTACCTRTTGAGGGCACTGTAACTGTATTTATTTGCTTAACACCAGGACAGGCCATGTTAATTCCCTGCAGCTGCTCTGGTTTTCAAGACTACTCCACTACATCAGATTTACATGTGGCATCAGCAGTGMAGCACTTTAACACCTAGCAGTATTTAGCAATATTTATATAAATCAACTTAACCTATAATAAGCAGGACTAGTAACAATATGGTAGTTACTCATAGCTGCTCTTTTACCAGCATCTCCAGCACTGAAACATTACTAATACCAGATTTTTTTCATCTTTGCAATAACAGAACCAAAACATTTTCAATTTACTCAGCCCAGACAAGCTACCACATYTGCTAAAGCAATGGTTAAATCATAAAGAAAGAGGTTGTGACTGGGGAGATTAAGAATGCAGGAAACAAAACTGCAAAGAGCCAAGTTTCATCAGTTCTTAYACACTGTTTGTCTCCAGGCAGAATTCAGGAGGGCTTTCTGCACTCGTGTACTTAGAGGTGAATATGCTATCAGAGGCCCAATTGGTTTAAGTGCTACAATAAAACAGTTGTAGAATGCAAATAAGACTGCTTCAGTTCCTAAACACAAAAATAAAGTTTAAATATATTGGCTTTAAGTCTTCAGTGATCACCAGCATATCCCATCTTCCCCAGTATCAGTGAATAAAGGTCTAATTTTCAGATTTCAAATAAAGGGATAAGAAATTAACAGAATGCTAAATATAAACCTATTCCCATCATTGAMGCAAACGTGCTGAGAGTCTGACTATGGAGACATGTCCAGAACATGACTTCACATGGATCTGGCCCATCTTGTTCCTTACGTGAAAAGTGAAATGTGTTACTGTACAACCTATTACTACCAGCTACATAATACATAGAAAGCCTTGAAGCGACCTCCTCTTGGGAAATATGACCATACAGCCAAGGGGAGAGGGAAAAAACTCAAAAATTTGGCTTTCCAGTCAGCCTGGTTAATTTGACAGTTTGCCTTTTTAAAGCAAATGGCTGCAAGAATATTTGTCATGTCCATATGGCACGGACAACTTGTTACCAACACAGTGTTTGCCTGAGGATTTTTGTTTCTGCCCCAAAACAAGGAGGTTCACAAAATGCTGAGGATTTCCTTATGTGAAACTAAGCTGTCTGGGCACTTAGACTTTTCCTCCTACTTAATTAGCTTGTAAAACCATGTAATTAAGCATCTGAACACACATGCACCATTTTAATCATCACTAGAAAAAAATGCACTGTTCACACTCTAACATTCCTAATTGATTTTTTTAACAAACATAAATGCAGTCGAGCACATGCTTTTCATTAAGACCTATTCAAAAGCTTTAAAGTTTTAGCTGTGTACTACATCTGAGAAATACATATATAAGTACATGCATATCTCATTTTTCCTTCCCCCAAAAGCTGTTTTGGTAACTGTCTCAAGTCAAGGAGATAAATTCTCATTTTACAGCTTCAAGAAATAGAAGCTGTTCCCTAAATCCTTGTGCTGTACAGCCAAAGACAATCTCTGTGCAGATGGCACCACCAGTACAACTTGGATGCAGACACCACCATCACCCAGACTCACTTTGGAGAAGTCTAAAGCCAAAACCAGGAAAAGCTGTTTTTTGTACTCATAATACCCCGTGAAAACATTAGGAAACCACATGTGCAGCTTGTGAATTTTTACTGCAAGCACAAATACCATATCCTGAAAAAAGTCTTCAAAACATGGGATTTATGTGACCAGATGCAAACCTTTACAGTGTAGACACTTCCCTATTCTCTTTATAGTCGATGGACAGAAGCAGGCAGGCAGCAATTCATTTCCTCCCAGTGTAAATGTCCTGTCAAATGAGTTACAACTCAAATTATGCCCTTCTTTTGGTTGTAAGTCAAACTTCCTCATAAAAAATATCTCTGGGAAGATTTCCACAGGCTAATTACTCAATTCTGCACTCCAGGAGGAGATGACAAACCCACAGACTGTCTGATAGGAGGGAAAAAAAGCACCTGCTAAAGAGACAAGAAATTATTAGAAATAAACACTATCAGGCCTTTTGAGCTAGACACCAAGAKTAAATTGTGGTAGCAAAAGTTTGTTTCCAAAGCTGAGTTCATGTAAAAGGGAAGAGRAAAAAAAAAAAAAAAARAGACTACATGGGAGACCTCRCCTCAATTCCCAAAGAAAACTCCCAGTTTGGATGGAAACAGGAAAAAATATATAGGTRTAGTCACAGATTATAATTTTTGTGRGAACCAGACAACACAGAATATATTCCTTGATAAGGCTACAGTTCAGAATAAACAGACAGGGCTCCAGTCAGTCAAGCTCATGATCAGCTGGTATAATAGCAAATATTTGTCTGGAATGAGCGTGGCACTATAGGAAGCACAAAGGAAATGGCAAATAAAAAAAAAGTATGAAAAAAGCAACAGGATGACTGGTAAATATGTCCTCAGTTCCATCTAACAACAACTAAGTTTCAGGTAGTATCAAAATAAGTTTCTAGTGGTCTGTGTCTGAAAGGAGCCAGAACCACATGTTAAAACCCCTAGCTGTTTTCCACTGGAGGTAGGAAAGACATACATTTAGAAGGGAAGTCTTTACCTTATGTATGTTTTACAGAATCAAGAATAAACGGATTTMATCTTTAAAAGAGCTTATAAAATAATGGCTTCTGAATAAGAAGAACCTAGAGTTACCTTCCCCTACCACACCACAATGTGGACAGAAAATACAGCTAACACTTTGTACAGACAACAGTGACATCTACTGTTAAGGTTACTAAATGATTTGGATTTATAGAATKGATAAACCTTTTTTCCAATGACTTGAAAGCAGCTTAAACACTTCCTTCAGGCGTTTTATTTGCAACATGTCTAATGTTACTGCCACRCAGCTGAGTTAGCAATGTAAAAGCATCTTGTAAAGTGCATTTTATACACAAAGTTCTCAACCTCAAACCAGTGTTCAAACCCTTTACTGTACTTCATTCTCAAACTGCCATAATTAAAGTAGCTCTGTGAAAGGTCTCCTTGCTTACCTTGAGCATTCCATGTTTTTCATAACCAACAGGCAACCTAACCATAGCCAACTAACCTCCCAAATGTAGAGCAAAGTGTTTCTTGCAGCAAAGGCACTAGAGTAACTGGATTCTGACTACACCGTGGTTTTTTTTGGATTCCATGAGGATTATGCAAAAGGTAAGTTCTGTTCAATGGTTTAACAAAAGTCTTAGATTCATAACTTAAAAACATTGCTTTCAAGCAGGCTGGTTTTTGGCAAGGAGGGATTTTTAGTTGTTTTCTCTAATGCATTTAAAAATCAATTTTCATTCTGTTGCAGAGCACAGCGAAGGGGCTTTCCACAGAACATCCCCAGTAATGAAGTTTCATGGTTTCAACATTCACAAGCTCGTCCAGGGGGTAAATTCCACAACCAGCTCTATGCCAGGTTGGCTCAAGCATCCACGTGGTAGAAGTCCATAGTGTACCAAGAGAAAGCCCTGTCAAGCCCTGTCTCCTGACTAGCAGGAATAAACTGATGCTACTTAAGTATCTTCCTTTCAAATTCCAAAATACTAAAAATTTGTRTTTGGAAAGACTACCTCTCCCCATACACAAAGATCAGTCTCAAAAACCTTACCTAAGCAAAGAGAAGACATCGTAAGAGTTACGAACACWGTTCTGATCCACCTGGAGAAGACTATTCTTCAGGGTACCTGAGTGATCCTAAAGGCAAAGGATGAACATTAATTTAAGAATCAATACATTCTTCCATTTTGGCTAAAACATGCACTTTCTGGAGAAGAGGAGGTGATGCTGTATTTAATGCATTCTAAATCTCTCTTGATACACAGGTTGTAAGTAGAAATAGTTTTTAAGAAAATGCAGTAGCAACGACATTAGTACTGTAGYCAGGCCTACAATAGCATTTACATTATTAATAAAATGTTATAATATTAATAAAATATTATGGCATTAACAATTAATTAATATTAATAAAACGTTATGACACTAAAATATTTAGCTGTGTTCTAGACCTAACATGCATTTTCTGGAATTGTAATACCCATTACGGCACAAGTCATTTTACGCACAGAAATACGGAAGGGTGCAATTGCAGTAATGAATTTCCCAAGTTCCAGATCCACTTCACTTTCAGTGATGTGACTGAAGATGTGTAAGAGGTACAAGATGTACAAGACTGATATAGAACTTGATTCTTTATCCATATTTTAACAGGTCTAACAGACATCTAGATTTTGAATGATGTTCTGAATGATTTATTATTTTCAAATGAAGTCAAAGAGTTTCAGGAAGTTATAAAAAACATGTAGTTTTCACAGAATCCCAGAATGGCTGATGTTGACAGGAACCTCTAGAGATCCTCCAGTGCAGCCCCTGCTCCAGCAGGGACACCCRGAGCACGGGGCACCCGCTCCAKCCMGGCRCGKTGGGAAGGTCTCCAGAGCAGGAGCCTCCGCAGCCTCCCTGGGCAGCCTCAACCAGGGCTCGGGCACCCTCCCACCAAACAAGTTCTTCCCCACGGCCACATGGAGCTGCCCGGCCTCCAACCTGCACCCACTGCCCCTTGGCCTGCCACTAGCCACCACCCACAAGAGCTTGGCCCCTTCCTGCCTCCATCCTCCCCTCGGCTGCTTGCACACACTGACCAGGTCCCCTCTCGGCCTCCTCTTCTCCAGCCTCAACAGGCCCCRCTCGCTCGGGCTCTCCTCACACGAGACCTGYTCCAGGCCCTTCAACATCTCTGTTACTCTGCACTGGCCCCTCTCCAGAACCTCCACATCCCTCTTGTCCTTCGGAGCCCAGAACTGCACACACGTAAGCGCACATTCTGCACAAAAAAGCATCAAAAACAGGCCAACCACAATACTTTATGCTGCAAATGTCAGATAAGCTTTTCCATATCAGGCAGTCACATAAATTSCTAGAAACGCCCCAAACTTGCAGGACAAAGTGAATCTTAAGTACGTCAAATGACTTAACAGGACTATCAGAAACTTTACAGATCATAAGAAAACAGCCCTTTACTTTCTGTATCAATTTCTTACAAAGTACACATGACCAGCTAGTTTTCTAGCAGCAATATAGATTTACACTGGTACGAGTGCAACAATTTCTACCTGCATATTCYTCACTTGCCTCAAGAAGCTGTTTCTATGTAGAAGTGGTTGAAATGGACGGCTGCATTTTAACAGCTCCTAACAAAACTGCATTAGCCACAGGTTGTACAGTAAACATCCCTTTCCAGCAGAAATAAGATTTTATCTAAATTATCTGGAGATCTGTATACTACAACATGTAGCACACTGCAACACAGGATATCTGCAGGTGTCTCAGCCCCTTATTTCCATTCTGTAGAGGTTAGATTCTAAGAAGGGGGAAAATTGGAAGTGCCCAATGATCATTATGAGAGCTACACCACAAGGTGGATTTTGTTTTGACTTTACTTAAAAAGTAAAGACCAAGCTTTAGTTAAGAGGATTTATTTAAGCAGAACATGCAGCATGGCCAAAAATAACCAGTTTTAGGAAGGGGGAAGCACAGCACTATCATGTTTTAGCCTTTTCCCTTCCCACTGTGCTACAAGATTCCCTATGGATTATACCTGGAMGAACTCTCCAGTAACGCTAGCATTGAATGGATAACGCTAGCAAGAGACAAATATATCCAGTTATACAAACTATTCCACCAACGAGAAGATTGCCAGAACATATAAGTTATTTATTAGAGAACAGTTTGCCCTTTAAGAGAAGGCCCTATTATCTCTTTGCCACAGTATTTATTACAGACAGTAGACACACGACTTTGTGAGTGTGCACAGCAAGATCTTTCTTGAAAGCAGATGGGAACAAACTGAGCCTTTACTTTGCTTCTGCAAAGCGGTCAGGATCCAGCTGCTAATAAGCAAGTCTGTGGGGAAAGGCTCCACCTGCACTGATGGAGGTTGCATATTGTAGGGAAACTGAGATGCAGTTTTTTAAAGACAGGAGTCTCTCCTGCTCCATAGTTGAAAACCTGCTACAGTCCCTGACAAACATACCTTGCTCTTCTTGCCTCCCACCTCTGAGCACAACCAATGTCAAGCAACAGAGAATTGCAGAGAATAGCTCTGATTTCTCCTTTAAGGAGWTGACAGTAAGCTGGTCATTAGCTCAAAGCTGTATCTGTTTTCCTAAACGTGCTCTCTAAACATCACTGCAGGCAACTGCAGGGTTGGTCTTATTGGTGAGGAGCAGCAGGCATAAAACAGATGGAAAAAGGAATGTGAAAATTATTAAACCACTGAGGAGAACTGAGGATATAGCTGAGATCTCCCAGCAAAAATAGCTGCCTGTTTTTCCCCCCCCCATACCCTAAACAAAACAAAAATTATCTTGCGCAAGGTCAGAGCTGGAGGTATCAACAKATGAAAGTTGAAAATGGTCAAGGACACTGGCAGAAGACACAGCTGTTAACTCTTCTAGTATTACATGAACCTATAGTGGGCAGTATATACTAGTAACAGGCAATAATAACCTTTGGAGGACAGAACGCACATGTAAAGGCATTTGAAATCTCCTTTCTAAACTTCTTTCTCACCAACTAAACAGTTGGTGCTAGAATYTTTCCACGTTGCTCCATTAGAAGACACAAACCTGCTATAAAACAAGTATTTTTAGCACAAACTTGCATTCTGGAAGTTATCTCAAATGAAAACAGGCCTCAAAATTCTCAATGTGCACATGCAGTACACATCAGTGTATATGCACACTTCTAAACRTGCAGATTTTTAAAGTAAGCAATTTAGTAACTACAATGTTCATATATGAGCACATTGCTCTGCTTAATGATCAAGAATACATCCACTTAGTAAGTCTACAAAACTACTGCAGTTTAAATCACAAAAATCTCATGACAGTGCCCAGCATCCCTGTCCTGCTTCAGCTTATTCTGTTACAATTGCTTTTGGATTCCCACTTCTCAGTATGGAAAGTCCACAAAATAGAAAAAAAGGATGATTTGTATTTAAATCCAGATGGAGCAAGAAATGCTCAAACATATATCCGGACAGTGTGTTTTGAAACCTTGAGTCCACAAAACATCTCCAGAAAACTTTACTCAGCTTTTACCAACCCTCTTGTTTTGGCTCATGAACAATCTTAGTTAATGACCAAGACATTTTTAAACTGTAAACATTAAATTTCCCCACTAATAAAACACAAATTTCAGGGAAGGGCAAAGAAATTTGTGCTCAGACAAGAGCTATCTCTCAGTGGGCATTTTCTCTCCAGCCAAGTGCTCCTTATGCAACTTGTCTATAAGAAAGTAGCACCAACAGCACCAAACCACACATTCTGCTTCAAGATCGGTAACTACCACTTAATGTGCTATTATATTTGCTATGAAAATGAGTATTAATAGCTACAGAATTTTCAAGATATTTTCTGTATGAATGAAGTTTCCATCTCAAATAATCTTAAATATTTTCTGTAATCTTTCTGGCTTTAAATGCTGTACACTAAATGTTGCATGAATGGATCAGGTGCTGTCCAGAAAGGATAAAATGACTTATGTAAAAAAAAAATTATTCCTTCCCAAAAGTATATGTTCTGAGCAACTAAGTGTGCAAATTTATGTCTAGAAATTGAATAATGTCTTGTCATCAGTATTAACAAGTTAGAAGAAATATGAAATACCCTTACCTTCTGTTCAAATGATGCTCCATAGTAACCATCATTGAGACCAAAAATAATCTCATTGGGGTTTCTTGCATGTATCTGCAAGAGCAGAAAACAAAACATTTTCAGGCCACCTTATGATTAAAAGCAGTGCACAGTCTTCATAAGTTGCTCTATCTGATGATTAGCTTTTCAGTTCCTATAACTCTAAAGTAGATGAAACTAGAGAAAATTGAAATTAAACACAGAAATCACATTTTCTTCACAGCATTAAAGACAGTTGCTGAATATGCTCAGTCATTCTACTTTGGAAAAGCAAATATCAATTGAAAAACAACATAGTTGCTATATGACTTTTCCTATTGCTCTACATCTATCTGTTAAACATAAATTGAGCAGGAATTAAATCAGAGATCAGCATTGGAAATTAGCTTTTACATAATCTCTCCTAAATTGACACTCTGCTGCTCACTTTTGGGGTTATAAAACAATTCATGTTTTAGTATTACAGCTAATATACTATTAAAAATATTCCAACTAAAAGCCTACTGCACAGGATATTTTTCAGAGAGTCTCCTGCACTCTGTAAAAACAAACAGAATATCAAAATGCTGTATTTTGTGAAGCTACAGCAGTCATGCTTCCAATTGGCTTCCAGCGGCCAATAAATAGAGCTTTTATTCTTTTCCAACAGCTTTTTTTTTTGAGAGAGAGAGATCCTGATTTAAAAACACTAAACTCATTTTAAAATTAAAAAACAGAATACAGACTACTCTAAACTGATCATATCAATGTGGCAATCTAGGACTGCTCACTGGAGCTATGACAACCTGTTATTTAAGTCAAAAGGCACAGTACTTTTTAGCACTTTTAGTATTTGTGATATAGGTTTCTTTTGCATCCACTTTTACTGTAAGCTCCACAACAGAGTAAACTCTTCACTCTTCACCTGTCACAAAAGGTTACTGGCAAGATAAAAGAAACAGAATCAAAACAAACTTCTGGTTCTTACACAGCAAACTTCCTGGACTTAAAAGCTCTTGATTGGGAGTCATTACTATGMGAAGTGATTAGAATTATATGTGAATATTATAATTTATTTTCATCTAGCTACATGCAACTCAAAGTATTATTTGATCGGCTTAGTCAGTAATGCTGATTGAAAGTATTCAGATGGTCAAGAGTTAAAGCTTGTGCACAAATCTCTGTAAATTCTTTTAAATGCTGATCTAAGAGGTGTTCATTTCTTCTTCAAGCATTCTGCATTTTTGTTCAGTGTATTTATAGCCTCCTCCATCCAAAAGCTGAGAAAGTCTGTTTTCACATTACCTGCTGGCCCAAGTACTTTAATCCATCTAGATTAACTTTCCATTCTATCAGAAGCTGATAGTGCTCCTTCTTGCCACCCCAGATCCTCACAACAAAACACGAGACGGACGTATCAAGGCGATCGGGCATTATTCCAAAGTCCAGGCTCCTCCATGTTGGGTTCTGTTGGTATTCAGAGGGATAAAGACAATTCAAACGAGCTGAAAGGAGTCCGAATATGTAGCAGGTTAGAATAGGCAGTAGGTTAGTATGTAGCACTTACAGAAAGAGATGAGGCTGTGTCAAATAAAGACTGAAAAATTYCAGTACAAACATGAACTTTTCGGGATTTACACAGAAGTGAAGCCAACAGGCACTGCAGCTTCATTTTTTCCCCTTAATAAAAACGCCGTATTCTGCAAAGTACTTCTGAAACTCAGCCTGTGTTCTGCCTCCTTCCACTACAAGATGCTGAAGAATTACTTCGCTAACTGAGTTCGGCCAAATCAAGAATTAAAATGCTAAGATACTGGAAGCCACATTTTCCTAGCAATATCCTTTGGTATCTGAAAATCAGGGTATAATTTGCATTGCCAAAGTTGAATCTAAAAAAGTCGAATCTGAAAAACAGGGTATAATTTGCATTGCAATAGTCAGTCTCACATTAAATTTGTACAATCTATTTACAGATTTGTTTACATTCAGCTCTTTTTTAACTGAGGCTGATGGCACACCTTAAATTAACAGTAACAGGATAACTCTCCTGTTAAGTGTTCTTCATTCTAAAAAATCAGACTTGTATCTCAATTCTATAGAAGCAGCATATATTAATTATTAAATCTGTTGGAATGGCAACAGAACTCAGGCTTAAAATACAGCTAACAYCAAGAACTTTGGCTCACCTCTGATAATGTTACAACCAAAAATTTAGGGATACTGTAGAAACTGACCCAAGCTGCATCCAAACTAAGCCAACGTGGATTGACATTAGTGGTGGAAAGAGCCTAACACTCAGTTTTGGATTTCTCCAGGCTGTAAAACACAAGATACCCAATGCAGATATAGGAAGATGCCTAATCCCAACCCCSCTTCTCTATAGAAGAAGTAATTCCTCCAAAATGAAAGCAAACAGTAGGAACACACAATCCCAARCAGCTGGACCACCTTGAAAGAACAAGCCTTTCATTCCTTTGCTTAAGCAGCTTGGAACAGGCAAGGCATTCCTGAACTGGTATTAGGAAAATGGTATTAGGCAAGTCAGAATAATACGCCTTTAAAAAGAAGGGAAAAAGGAAAAGTTATCCATTAAATACCACAGAAGGATTTGCTCCCCATGTGCTTACTTAAATTTTCATAGAGAAAGGTACTTGGTAGCTACTTGGGCAGAGAACACCAGGATATTAAAATGGAATTTGAACAAGGCTGCAACATTTTTAAATCCAGATTTTATCAGTCCATTTCATATTTCCTTTGTTAGACTCTTTCCATTATTAATTTTTCYGTTTTTCACTAAACAGAACTCAAGAGCCTCAAATCTCAAAGAATGCAACTTTAGACAAGGTAAAAAGCCTTCCAACTGTAGAGTGGTTTCCTCCAACCAGGAGGTTTTCAAAACCCACTGGCAGCCCTCACCGAAACATACTGTAAATGCTTCAGTTCTGTCTTACTGATGCAGATACTAAAAAGTGTGTTTAGTGGGTTTTCAAATTCATTTCAAAAAAATGTCAGACTCCTACAATATCCTACCACTATATCCTAACAAAAAACCTTACCCATTCTCAGTTGCAAGAAACTCTTTACTGGTCTGATACTCTCACTGATCTGAACTGGACCATTTAGAACCTTTACGAAGTTTCATTGACTACAGCTTTTTGAAACTGTCCTTAAAAACCATGCACTTTTGCAGATACAAGTAAATTCACCTACACCTGATGATGTTCAAAGTAGCACATGTTGCAATGCTGTTCAACTCATTTGAAAGACTGCTTGCAGAGTCTCTGCTTCATTAAATCAACATATTGAAACAAACTAGAAATAGTGTTTTTAAAATTACGTATAACAACTTCTATGTGTGTGTACGTGTGTGTAACAACTTACCAGAGAATTCTTGATGACTTCACTCTTATAAAATTCTAAGGAAAAAAGAAAAAAGAGTAAAAGATCTTTAGATTAGCATAAATATTGCCGCTAATATTAATAACTGAAATATAGAAAGCTAAAATTAGTAACATTAACATACACAGTAGTAGAACTATTCTGTCAGGGACTAGATTAATAAGACGTAGCTTAAAATGCTTTTTGACTAGAAATGCTCATTGATACTTAATAATTAGAAGCCATTATTTAACTCAAGCATTTCATCTTCTTACCCGAGATGATCCTCGTGAATTACTATGAATTTGATTGACTGCTATTTGCACAGGGACTAGTTTGTCCATGACAGCTTCCTGGAAAGTACAGTGACAGACACACTAATTGCACTGCTTTCCTGAAGAGCAAAGGGTGACCTGTTTCAGGTTCTTGGAAAGCAAACAACTGAATTACCTCACAGAGTTGCCAAGAAGCCTGTATTTAAATGGAAATAAGCAGCAGCTGACATACGGACCTCAGCTTTTCCAGCCAAAATGAGACTTTGAAGTCTTTAGGTACATCGTATTAGAGGCTGGAACACAGATTTTGGAGAAGCACCCTTAGACTGCTTAACTTTTAGGGGGGAAAAAAAGCTTCATCAGATCTTTAAATGCATTCAGAAAAATAAAAGGTAAAGGGAAGAATGAAGCTCACTACATTGTGGGAGAGCACAATACTGAAGCAGTAACATGACCTCTTTAATGTAGCTCAGCTCCATTGACTGAAGAGGGCTAAGAGCCTTATTTAATTTGACTAGTTGGGGAGTTATTTAACCCACAGATTTGTGTAGGTTTATTCACCATGGGACAACATGTGAGCAGAAACTATTTGGTAAGACAATTCTCTCCAGAGCACAGAAGATCCCTTCTCAGCAAGCACTGCAAAAGKAAATCCCAAGTTTAACCACTCCCTTTGGGAAAGTCCAGGCAGGGAACTCAAGTTATATATTCTTACCCTTCAAAACCAGTGACTTTAAACAAGCAAGTTTCAATTGCACTAGCTGAAAATAAAATACAGACGCACCAAGTTTCAATCACAACACTAACAGCTAGTAATCTTAGAAAAGAGCTTAAATCATATTTTTAATAATAATGTCTGTCCATAATGAAGTTACAGATTTTAATAGGAAGCAAGACAAGAGATAAATGAAATACMGAACTTCAACACATCTACAAATGCTGAAAGGCTTCAGGAAATTCAGGAGACTAAAGAGCTGTTTTCCACTGATMGAACAGCGGATGCAAAGAGGCAGCAGAATCTCAAGGCAACAACAGAAGTAAGATTTTGAAATATTAAGACAATTAGGAAAAAAAAGTTGATAACAAGCCTGTTTTACCTTTGTATATCTTGGTGTTATCACACAAATGAAGAGTGAAGTAAGTATCCAAGAGGCGATAACCATTCTTATTGATGATGTTACGTGCAGCAATATTCCGCAGATGACGAAGCCGACGCTAGAAATAAGACAAAAAACAAATATTTTAAAGAATATTTAGACCAAAACTGAATTGTTTAAATTATAACCTTTTAACAATCTGCAAATCATGAGTRTTAAAAAAAATTTTGGCAGAAAGACAGTGTGAATAAATATAAGCTACAATAAAATGACAGAACAAGCAGCACTTGTCATCTATAAATTCAAATTAAGCAGCACTAATACACAAGATAAGCTATTTATATTCATTTTGTGTATGTAGTTTTTATTCTATCCATACATCTAAATCCACAGGCCAAGCAGTTTCCAGCAATTAAATGATGCCTTTAGCATCCTMTTATGACTAGGACACAGAGGTATATGGCGGGATTCTTTTGAGGTAAGAAAACCAAAATACTWTCAACAAGCCCAAGCAGACAAAAAAAAAAAATCAGAATAAAGCATTACTAAGGTAGGCTTATAAGCAACTGGCTAAACCAATTTAAACAATTTAAACCAAAACCATTTAAACCAATTCCATTAGTGGAAATTCAAGAAACTGCTGCTACATCTTTGAAGTCAGAATGTGTGTATACACGCATGCAAGACATATCCAGAGATATGGGAAAAATTACAGATACAGTCAAACTTTGATGTTTCTGCTGAATTCTCTCCAATATAGTAGAAAGATTCCCTTAATCTGTCAGTTGTCTTCAGTTTGGATAACTGAATCACCTTCTTCTGGGTTGCGTACAGTGAAGTAAGATTTTATTTATAAAATTTTGGCCTTAAAATACTGTTATTTAAATAACACTAGAATATGCTGTTAAAAATGTTACTTAGGTGACCTCATTCAACTTCAGTACTAGGTTAGACGCTACAAGATGTGTAATTTTAAATAGCAATATTCAATTGCCTTTACTCTTTCCATTCCCACAGTTACATAGAGGTGGCTACAATCCTAAGTTTAAGAACACAATAGCCTTTTCACCTTRAGGAAATACTGATCCATACCGACTTATTCTTAAATAAGCTCTTCAATAAAACAAGACAACTAACAAAACTTGGCAGGACTATCCAGTCTCTCTCAAATTACTGCTTAGCATTAGTTATTYTAAGAGTGCATAGGTTTTAAAACAGACTACAGTGAATTAAACATTCAAACACTTAAAATATATAAAATTTTCACCAAATCCTTCATATCCCAAAGTGCATTATCTCAAATCAATCTCAGCCTACAACTGCTTCTTCCCATTTAACAAGGGGTRTTTACAAGTTGTTCCCTATGCTTTTTAGGATCACAAACCACCTTCGCACCTCAAACAACTGGCTTAAGTTTTAAGGCATCCTTTTCCCCAAAACCTCGTTAATTTTTAAGCCTGGATCTGCATTATAAGAAACATTTTCTCATTCAGAAAGAAAAGCTGAAAAATGCTTTCAAAACTAAAAGACAACTCATCTTTTTGCAGTTTGTTCAGAAACAAAAAAATCAAGGAGAGTGAAAAGGCCCTCACTGCATAAAATGACACTTTTAAAACATCATGAAATTCTAGCATTTTCACAGAAAGTAAAACCAATGTAAAAGCAATATTAAATTTCTGTTCATGTCACAGACTCCCGTACCYACTGGGGGATAAACTTTAACCTCATTCCTGCAAAGCCGACTTACAAGCTAGACTATGACAACAGAGACAGAGATGGGATGCCCAGATATAYCGCAGGAAAATGTCATACTAGCACATACGTGCAAGATAAAGGTTTATAGAAGAAGTTTAACTGCAGCACTCTACGGTCTTAAATAGTTAGAAATCAGTATTAAGAATGTCAACAAAAAGACTGAGCTTCACTTAAAGAGTTGCATGTACCTTACACAGTATTTCAAGACTAATCTTAAGCAGCTCCTCTTGCTAGCCTTTAAGAGCAACTTCTGTACTAGAATATTTAATAAATGGTTTTGAACATACATTGTGCATCCTRTAAGGGTGATTCATTGGTTTTATGCAGTCATTCAGTAGCATTCAAGCAAGTCAAGCATCTATTAACCACAGCACCCCCCTCTTTTTTAATTACAACCTAGGAAGTTGTAATAACTTCCACACAGCATGTAATAAAGAGGAGCAACTTTCTCCAGATGCTGCTAGGATTACAACAATTGGTTTGAAGTGGCACACTGCAATGAAGTAATCTTCAAGCAATGTCAAACAGGTTTCTCCTCTTTCTTCATACRGAAGGGAAGCAGATACAGAGGGAAAAAGCCTTCTAGACTGCCATAACCTATGCCCACATATTGGGAGTCAATGCTGAGTCCCCATTCTCCACRGTTTGCAGCTTCTTTGCACCCTTCAAAGTCTGGATTCCAACCCCTCTACACACCACTGTCTACCATCTCACCCCCTTACAATTCAGTTGAAGACTAATGTTAAGCTTGCGATTAATTAAAGGCTAATTTAACACTAATTTTTAGCTTAAAGTATGGTCACAAGGCTGTAACACTTCAAATCTCAACATGCAGCATGTAAGGAACACAAAGGCTCCAATTTTGCTTTCACTTCTCTCCCCACCTTCCACCCCATTACTTGTCCTTTCAGCCGAGCTGACAGCCAGGGAACAAACTTCCAATTACACGGACAAATTTCTTGTCTCTGATCCTTAAGATGAAGCACGAGGAGAGCAAGAAGAGAGGCTTGGATCCTGCACAGAAAGCTTCCACTTTGCCCACTACATTGCCCTTGACATTATATTGTGTTATTGAGATTTCCTCCCAGCTCTACAGAGGCAACAGTCAGAGCTAATTAACCTCCTCTTCTGACCAAAGATAATTAGCCATGGCCAGAGATCATGAGCTATGAAGGCAAGTTCAAAAAAACAGATTTGAATAGACTCTAAAATTAGTCACTGAGGGCTTGTGGATGTCCTGGAGCAAAGAACAAGCAACATTTCAAAGGAATTTCCAAGCTCTGCTCAGTATCACCTCCTAGATCCTCCATATCATTTTCACTCCGGAGGATAGAATAAACAATATGCAGAAAAGCCAAAACACTGCTGTAGTTCAGCTCTTATTGGCATAACGAAACATCACCATGTGCCAAGCCTTGCTGTCCCCCTCATCGGTGCCACCACAAACACTTGTGCAGCTGCTCAGCAAGCTGCACTGGGGAACTGATTTGGTGAACGTCACCTCTTTGCTCAGCTGGGTGAGTTTCCCTAGATCAGTTCCTCAATTTGCTTCACAGCACAGCTATATAAACAGCTGCACTAACGAAAGGGGCAGTGACAGACAGATTCACAGATTCACAGAATATTTAAGGTTGGAAGGGACCTCTAGAAATCATCTAGTCCAACCTTCCTGCTCAAGCAGGCACACCTACAGCATGTGGCACAGGGTGGCATCCAGGCGGGTTTTGAAGACCTCCAGAGAAGGAGACTCCACAACCTCCCTGGGCAGCCTGWKCCASKGCTCTGKCACCCTCACAGTAAAGAAGTTGCTCCTCACCTGGAGACGGAACTTCTTGYGYTYCAGCTTGTGGCCATTACCCCTCGTCCTGTCGCTGGCCACCAGTGARAASAGCYTGTCCCCTTCCTCCCTGCATTCTCCCTTCCTGAACTTACACACATTAATCATATCCCCTCTGAGCCGTCTCTTCTCCAGAGAAAACAGGCCCAGCTCACTCAGCCTCTCAACAGCTAGAAAAAGCCCCAATTCCTTCAATGAAGCTGCCAGGTTCATATATGAGACGAGCTGCAGCCTGGCGCTGCTGCGAGCAAAGTGAGAAGCAGCTCACAAGGAAACGGCACCTCAAACCTTAACAGCAATAGTCACCCAATGCACGTGACTTTGAACAAAATTCAAAAAAAAAAAAAAAAGCTGCATTTTAGCAGAGCATTGATCTAGGTGAAGTCTGATATGCCAAAATAAAAAAGGCATTAAAAAAGGGGGTGTTTATCTTTCCTATAAGCCCCAAACAGAGCACACAGTCTGAATGGTGGGCACTGGGATCACAGACTAGCAGCAAAGAAGGCTGAACAGCTAATCCTAGGTGCTGGGTAACACAAAATATTTTGACTACAACTGTCCTAGTCCAYTGCACTTCCCCAGGAAGCCAAGTGAGCAGCAAAATTGCCAGGTAGGCTCTGTTATCATTTGATTTAACTATCAGTCTAAGTTTTGGCTGGGAAGTAACTACCACCTAGCACCTCTGTGTTAGCCTACACGAAGGGAACTGGTGTTTCCTCCTACCTCTGAGGTGAAGATTTAAAGATATTAAAGAAATTGAAGACTAAAAAAAACTTCTGTTAGAGATACATACAGAGGTTGATTGTAAAAGATGCAGCAGGAGAGGAGATCCTGACATTAAACTGTGCTACTTGTTTCTACAGAGCTACAGAAATAGTTTTCCAGGACTCAAGAAAAAAATCCTACATGTACAGCCTGATCTGCTAAGGCTTTCTATGCACAATAATGATCAGACTGCCTTAAAGGTCAGGGGYCTTTTTTATTTAACAAATACACTCAGTTTTCATCATTCTGAGGAACTATTATCAGTTGTTTAATGTATCTACTGTTCCCATTCAATGGCTTTCTGGGAGCCTTTCCAGATTTACCACAGGCCATAAACTCCAGAATAAAGTATTTTGATCAAGATCCTGGTTAATATTTTGTATTTTCATCAGATGATCGCAAAACTCTATCAAGTATTGTGAGATCTGGAGGACCAAAACTGCCCAGTTCCTTCACATTTTAGTTCCCCAAACACCGAGATACTGTAAGTTTTCAATATTTGTACCTAAAATTCCACTTTTTGCATACAGTCACTTGTTTCCACCTCTGGGCAACTTCTTGTATCACCATAAGCAACTGTGCAGTTTCACATCAATAGTCAGAGAATTTATCAAAGCTAAAAACAGGGAAATGAAAGTTAAAGCAGCTTGAGCTTCCCCAATTCAATTCATCACAAAAAAATCTGCACACCAAGAAAGCACGGAAGCGTGGGCAGGAGCATGGAGGAAGGAAGGCAATTTAATTAATAGTGCTGAAGCGCC